GTGTGTGTGTGCGCGCGTGCGTGGTTGTGTAACAGCCACAGGCAGCGGTTATATAAGCACCCTCTCAAGTCCCCCTCAGCGTCGCCATCATTCGAGAGTAACGTTCTGTGTGAGATTTGTACTCAAGACAGTGTGCTTGCGTGTTTGCACGAGTGCCAGACAGGACGCAAATGTATGAAGCAGCCTCTTGAGCCGGTGGCCTCTTCGGCACCTTCGCGTTCATCTGTGACCCGGCACGTTGGCTAATTTTAAGACGTGGGTCTGTATGAGCGGGCTGTCGTGGATGTCACATGTATTTTTTCAGTTCCACAGAATTCGGTGCTGGTCATTTTCCTTGACTCTTCCTGGAATGATTTAGTCTAGTGTGCGACCAAGTTTTATTTATTTATTTATTTATTTATTTATTTTTCGTAAATAGCTGTCATTATCTGCCCACTATCAAGCAGAGGCAGGTGAGAACAAGGTAGATGGGACTGAATCCACTTATAACAGTTTGTTCCATCATATGTGTGTGTGTGTGTGAAAGTAAAGAGATTTGAAACAATTGAGAGAAGACTTTCTTCGGAGAGGAAGTTGCAGGAGGCGCCTGACAATAATTTGTGTAATACTTCCTACGGGTGAAATGATGACTAAGAATGGAAGGACAGCATTAAATAAGACAATTTAATGGCTGCTCTCTGAACAGGATCGGCGATATAAAAAAATGTATTGATACTAAAATCTGCTTGGATTAGGCCCAAGCGGCGTTAGTGATCTACCATATCCAGCAGGTTGAACTGTTGTCACAAACATGCTGCATGTGCAAGGTGACGCACACGTTTTAATGCACAATACTGCCACCTAGTGGACTGGAGTGGAGTACCATCAGCTGGCACACGGTGGGGCTTTACCCCATCAAATCAGACAAGCAAGCATGCTACAAAATGATGATAAATGGAAGTTGCCACTTTCCGACGTAGCACATTGAAGCATCTGCAAAAGGCTTAAAGTGCTTTTTCGTCTGTTTGTCATTCAGCGTGATGGAAGCGGACGGTTTTGAACGCTCCCGTCATAGTATGTACTTTACTGCTTTTGAAGCAGCCGAGGAAACTCCCACTCCAGATTGCAATCTTTAGTTTTATATTCTGTGTGAATGCACACTTGAACGATGAAATGGGCTTTTGAAAAGCAGCAGCTTGGCTAAATTTGACTGTGTCCACTGAGGAAATTAGAAAAAGCGCCTCGACATGCCTCAGTCGCAAGCCAGTTCATCGCTACTACTCTTTGTTTATCATCAAAGACTGGATGAAATTCATTTGGCTAAAGTTACATTTGTCCTTTCCTCTCAGCGCCGACACTTCTCAGCGAAAGCCACTTATTTGACACATGTGCACACAAAAAGCACAAGTTGTGGTTTGATGTCCTTCAGCCCTTTACCGAGAAGTTATGTAAACCCTAAACATATACGAAGATGCACTTATGTAACGTTTAGGTAGCTGAAGACATTCCGCCTTTCCCTGAAACGCCCCTAGCAGACACACATGCACACACAGTATAGATTTTGTGGCCTCACATTCTTTGGATCTCATAAATTACAATTTGTTGAAGTCTTCAAGCCCGCCAGTATTTTCAGTGTTGAAAAAAAAGAGTTTGCAGCTTGTTAATCAATACGTCATCTGTATTTTGATTTTCTATAGGTTCGGTAATTCCTGTATTAATTGCCTAATGCGGGATGTGTGTCAGCAGGTCTGTGTGTGAAAAGTTGCACATCTTCTTCATCTCTGTTTTGGGGAGCTAAATTTAATCTGGGAAATGAGATGGATTTTAATGAGTATTGCACTATTTTCTGGATTTTATTTTTCATCTGTGGTGCTTACACAAGCAACTTGCTTGCTTTTTTATTGCTACTGTAAATATAGCACAATACCCATTACTGTCATTCTAACCTGCATGCTATATTTCGTGACTCCTGTATTTTCTTATTACCATATACATGCAATCTCATGTAATTCGCTTTTTATATTTTGCTCTATTACTCCTGTATATATGAAATGTCACCATATCTGACAATAATATAACAAGGCTGCAACACCATCAGTAGGTTCTTTTGCACATTCTCTTATTTGAATTTATGGATTTTGGATTGAACGATAGGAATAAGGGGTAGGAAGGTCCAACAGTTGTTAGCATGTTTGCCTCACATTTATGATTTTCCGGATTCGAATCTCTGCCGACAAGCATTTCTCTGTGGAGTTTACATGTGATCAGTGTGCTTATGGGTTTTCTCCGGGTCCTCCAGTTTCTTCTTACAACCCCAACTTATCCATATAGATGTGAATATGCGTGTGAATGCTTGTTTGTCCATATATGCCCTGCAATTGGCTGGGGACCAGTCCGGGGGGGTTTAACACACGCCTCTATCTTAAACATCAGCTGGGATAACCCTAATGAAGCGCAAGGGTTAGAGAGGATGGATGGATGAAAAGATCTAGCTAGCTAGCTATCGAGCTATCTATCTATCTGGCTAGCTAGATAGCTAGCTAGCTAGATCTTTTGATAGCTAGCTAGATAGATAAAACAAACACACACATATTCACACATTCTCTCAGTGATGTGTGAAGTGCACACATTCATCTATCATGTATGTGTCTGCCGTCTCTTCCTATGAAGAACTGAGCATCTCTCCTCTTTGAACGATGACCTCACCTTCATCTGCCCACTCCACTTCCTGTCCTTCAGTTCAGCATCTCACTGAGCACCGTGAGATGCTGAACTGAAGGACAGGAAGTGGAGTGGGCAGATGAAAGTGAGGTCATTGTTCAGTGTGTGTGTGTGTGTGTGTGTGTGTGTGTGTGTGTGTGTGTGTGTGTGTGTGTGCGTGTGCGTGAATTGTGATGTCAGGGCTCTATGCATGTCATGAAGTCCAATATACAGTCACTGTTCTGTCAGGTATCATCGAAGAGGGGAACAAGGGGTCGACAGGGAGTTGGAATGTTTCTGCAATATGTTCAATCCGACGCATTGTTATGTCTCTGCCACTATCTCAGACTGAGATAACAAAACCTGTGTCCTTGGCTGAAGCGATATCCTCGTGCACATGAAGAACAAAGAACAGTCTCGTTTTTCATTCACACTCAGAGCGCACTTGAAAGTGTCAATTCAAGAACATGTTTTGAAACAATGTCACAAATTTCTCCTCGGGCAAAATTCCAAATATTACTGATCATAAAACCCCTTGACTGTATAGGCAATGTTTTCAGCAACATTTTATCATGAGTCTAATACAAATCTGAAAATAACATCCACTGTTAATGCAAAAGCTAAACAATGAATTTTGTACTCACGATAATACTCTTTGCTGTATTGCGCAGGACAGCCAGGACAGAAACATCCCAACATCTACACCGCCACCATTAAATAGACTAGGAAATTATTTTCATATTGACACGACTTTATTTACATCCTACCGCCAGGGATTTCTGTGATGGATTGGTTAGAAATGCGAGTGCCTGCATGCATTCAGATATCTCCCATCGCACGCGCACAAACACACACGCACTGAGACAGACTGGTGTTATTCAAGCGACTGCATTGTTTTGATTATGTATCATGGCCAGAATGGGTGTTTTTGTGCGAGTTGTTTTGCAAGGCAGCTTGCCTCAGATTGTCTGCACACATTCTTATCGTCATGTGGATATTGCAGGTCCTCAACCTTTTATATCAGGTGTCATAAACATGGAAAGTGACTGTGACCAATGCCCCTGTGCGTGTTTGGCAGAACAGCATCATTTTGTGCCGTCATCCCTGGCAGATTCCTGGCACAGCTTGTCCTCAGCGCATGTGTTTGTGTGCGTTTCCTGCTTTTCATTTCGTAATCCGGCCGTATTTATGATCCAGCGCTTACATAAACCCGAGATCTGGTTCAGTGTGTTTCTGGCAGAGCAAATGAAAAGGGAGGAGTGCTGTGGGAAAATGTGAAAGGTGAAAAAGTGAAAGCAGATTCCAGCTGGGTTGGTGGTAGAAGCAGAAACGACAATAAAACAATATTTTTTGGGTCACAGATACTTTTGGTTTGAGATTGATGACTGCACGCTTCGGGTGGCGCCACACAATTGACTTGGAAATGTTCTTGTGATATTTCAAAAATTCATGACTTTTTTTCCTGAGTTTTAATTCATGGGTGTGTCACCCTGAGTGTTAAACAGTTGTAAGGATCATAGGAGCAGACTGAATTAATGCAACGATCTGGTCAATCACAAATTGATTAACTTTGGCCCTCTTCAATTGAACGCAAAACTGAATTTGTCATTCATAAATGAGGATGGATGGAAATAACTGTCAGGCAAAGCAAGTGACATTTGGTCATTTCCTGCAGCACCACACGTTAGTGTCACGATTCGAGCGCACAAATTTAACACACAAGCACAGCCAGCCTCCAGCGTTGTCGTGTTTCAGAAATGCACTGCATCAATGTCTCGGTTTGCTTTTGATTTGCATTGATTTTCAAATTCAAACCATTTTAAGGTTTCTTTGCCCTCCCCATACCCGACAATGCTGACAGAATTGGAAAGAAGCAGTGCATGACAGTTACCAGTAGGTAAAAAATGAGGTGCGTCTAGCATCTGTGAATTTCCTCAAGACAACTCATGATCTGGATACACTGCCTACAAAATTTGGGAATGCGAAAGATAAATAGTTTGGATTTTACATGTTCCTCACTGACCTGGATGGATAAGCGGTGTCGAAGATGACATGACATTTCACATGTTTAACTGTGCCCCCCACCCCTCCTTTGTTCCTCAGATCAGTCCCACTGTGCCTCCTTCAGCTCAGAGAATGAGGCTCAGGGAGGTGACACAGCGGCATGGCAGAGTACCCCTCCACCATCTACCTCACTTTCCGGGGGGACGCCAGCAAACCCTGCGCCCTCAAAACCCGCTTCGAGACCCCACACTGGGGTCTCCGGCCAAAGGACCACCCCGCCCTCCACTCTGACACAAAATAGAAAGAGAAGCTCCAAGCCCTCGCACATGAGACGTAACATTCGGTAAGCAAATTCTATTGTCGAGACGTACGTGATGGTATTGGGACTTCATTTTCGGGTTTGAGCAATTTCATCCCAATTTAATCCACAAAGGACACAGGTTAAAGTCTCATCGAGTTCTCGTGTTCCGCTCTTGTGATCGCAGGAAGTTACTGAGGGAGCATCAGCTGGAAGCGGTCACCAAAAGTGCTCAGCAGGAGGAGCTACAGAGAAGGCGACGTCTGGATGACCAGAGAAAGCAAGATTTCCCCATACCACTGCTGCCTGAATATCAAACCGGTGTGTCCCTGGCATCCATATCCATTCATTTCCAGTACTTCTTCCAACGACGCATTCAGGGTCACACGCATTATTCGCCCACCAATCACCAAACTAACGCAGAGAGGCAGATGACGACCACATTTAATTCTTTTTTTTTTTTTTTAATCCATCCATACAAGCTTTGAAGTGTGACCACATTTGGGTAAGAGTGTGAACACAAAGCATTGATTTGTTATGCTTATTTCGCCGATGCCTTTGTGCAGGTGATGTAACAAAGCATGCGTCATCATCATCATCATCATCATCATCGTCGTCGTCAGTGTCGCAGCAGGAGATGAGACAGGACGTCATCCGCCTGGAGTCCAGCAGCATCGGCACATGCCAGGATGTCAAGACCAACATATGTGCCTCCGCCACTGAGCTCACACACAAAGCAGGTCAGAGAGCGCGAGACACACACGCGCGCACACACACCTGTGCACAACATTTAACAGGGAAGTGGTCTTCCCTGAAGCCAAATAGCAGGTAGAGCCTATTTTGAACTTGGCGCTGCTGTTTTGGTTAGCCACTGAGTTATGCTCTGTTCAGACCGAAGACAAAATGTCGCTTCGCCTCGCGTTTCTCACGTGATTTTGATCGCGAGATACTAACGTATCTGTTTAAGTTGCGCCAAACCACAGCAGAGAGGAAGACGGATACCTCCTCCTCCTCCTCCTCTGACAGGACAAACAAAGAATATTAAAATTCCGAGTCAATCAGGTGGTAGGTGGTTGTGCTCAAACTTTGACTTCGTTCATGTTTCAAGTACGCTTAATAGATGCGATGAAGACCCCCGTGATTATTTTGTCTCATTTTTCCACCACATCACTTGCATACGACGGCGTGTGTGTTGCTTCAGCGTGCTGTGTCTGCAGTGTGTGTGATGTAGTAAGGTACATGTCAACGTCGATTGGCTGTTGCGACACGGTGCGTGTGCCTTCCAGTTAAATTTAACAAATTGAGCGAATGGGCTCGCCTCCAATTGCATCGCCTCAAAACGCGTCAATCGTGCGGCCTGGCACGGACTCTCACCTAATTGCGCAAACTGTATTGACTTTCTATGTAATTGCGTCACGAAAGTAGCTCAAGTCGCGTGTGATCTGACCGCGGCATTGACATGTTCGACTGAGTGACAACAGTTCATATTTATTCCCAATAAATAGATAACTTACCATATAGGATCACTAATAAATACAACATTGTAAAGACATGGCAGGAAGGAAAGTAGCAAATACAGTAATACCGTAAATCCAGATTGCTGAAGTAGCCGGCCCCACAACTGTTAGCCTCAAGGCCCCCCTTGCACTTTGCCCTTTGACTGCGTTAAGTAGGCTAGTAGGTCAGGCGCCTGTGGAAGCACAGAATGAGCTGCGGTAGGCACCCAGCTGGCAAGTTATCCCTCCAATTGGATAAATGTGAACCTTGCGCATACTTTTAGCCGCTTAAATCCTTTAATGGGTCAGATGCGCATTGTTGAAATGCCTGAAGGGATGATGGCTTCGCATTGCAAAACAAACACAACATGACATGAGAGTTGTTTCACTACAAACAGACTCTGGAATGACCTTTGAACGAATACAGTTTCAACACAACGACGTAATAGATTTGAGGACCTTGGAACTGATACAGTCTAATCGCACTAACTTGATAATTCGTTTTAATAGCATGAATGAATGTTTCTCTTTTTTATAGTTTGACATGGTGGCAAGCATCTTTTCTGCACACATCAATTTGACCAAATTCACACCAACGTTATGACCACTTTGACAACAACTGAATTCAATATTCTTTTTATACAAAGAATGTTCAGTTTTGTTCTATTTATAGCTCTCTGTGCTGTTTCATATTGAGAGCTGCGTCTAATGTTTTGGTTACCTGAATTGGTTCCATGCCGTACAATACAATGAGGCCATTGTTAAATTACAACTTCTCTGACCGTCATTGTCTTTGGAAAGATATTTAACAATTGTTACAGCTCCCGTTTTGGAAATCATTCTATCTACTGTGGCACATCAGAAGTTGTTTCAAATGTCCGCAGGGTACATCATGTACACTTCCCTCATTCCCCAAGTCACTTTCTCACAGGGACATGTGCACACGCTTTTTAACGCACACTTCATTTAGTTGGTGACACACAGAGAGGGTTGTTTTAGGCGTCCGAAAAGACAAACAGCACCAAAGGGGAAGGAGGAAGTGTGTAGAGGAGTAAGATGATGCGAAGAGTGATAGGAGAAGCAGATCAGGATCAGAGCAATCAAGCTGGCTAATCCTAGTTGGGAGCCAGAAGACGCACACGCGCGCACACACACACACAGCGCACCACCGTGGCACAGTGACATTTCTAGTTAAGGTTGCATAACCAGTCTCCCCCCGCCACTCTAATCCTACTTGTATAACCAGACATTCATTGCAGTTATATAAGCTCTCTCTCGCTTCATCTCGTCCCTCTCGTCCTCCATTATTTTTGTACACACACCAACACACTCACACACACACACACACACACACACACACACACACACACACACACACACACACACACACACACACACACACACACACACACACGAGCGCATCTCCTCTTCGTGTGGTGCTCTCACAGGCTGCCAGCTTGTGTAATACCAATCATTTGATGTTCTTTTTATTATTCCTAATTAAATAGGGATGTTGGTCTTGTAGCCACACAAACAATCGCCCCCATATACCGCCGCGCACGCACACACGTGCAACAACTTCATCAGGAGTCATTTAGGTTGTCCCCTTTGTATCTACTAGTGCTCATCGGAAAACGGACATCGAACTATTTGAACTACTTCTCTAAAGCCCTTTATTTCGACACAATGCATTTGTTTGTTTTGAACCAGGGGTGTCAAACTGGTTTTCATCCTGGACCAGATTAGAGTTATGAGTGGCCTCAGGGGGCTTGTTGTACCGGTGAAACCACATAGTGTAAATGAATAATCGCTAGAGGTGTAACGGTATGCCAAAAATGTGTTGGGTACGTACCTTTGGGTTTTACGTTCATGGTTTGCTACAGTAAAGGCACAAAATGCAAAACAAAATGCAAAATTGCATCGGCGGTCTGTGACGATTGATCACTCTGATTAGATGTTAGCTAATTAATATAATATATCATAATCGCTTAAGTTCATATGTTCTGTGTGGTACCACTCACAGAATCATTCAATCATGTTACATAATTGCTCTTGTATTTAGTTGTCATTCTTATTATAGATGACTCGTTTCAAATGTATTTCAATCTCCATATACTTGCACTATTCACACGTGCATAGCTAACTATCGTAAAAGGATCATATTTATCATTAGCAAAATCGAATGAAAAGAAAATAATACTCCTTCACAGATAAATCCCATGCTAACTTTTTTTTAATGCAATTTCCAGCTAGATTGCAGTGAGATTTTCTTCCCTCCCTCACGCCTCAGCTCCCTCTTCTCCGTAGGTGCGATTAATCTGAGCCAGAGTGAGGACGACACTATCAGCAGAGACTCCGCCCGCCATGATATAGAGCGTGAGCAAAGTGGCATGCACTTCAACGACGACTTCAATCGTCCGGATGATCAAGGACGGGTGCTGGTTAACTTGAACCATCCCACAACAGACACGGACATTTTCCTCTCACCTCAGCTGGCACGAGCAGTCAAACCTCACCAGGTACCGACTGACTTCCTCATTTGATTTTTGAATTCTAATTCGGAAATCCTCACTCAGGTTTGTGTCATTCATCTCAGATTGGCGGAATTCGTTTCCTATACGACAACTTGGTGGAGTCGGTGGAGCGTTTTGGCAGCAGCAGCGGGTTCGGCTGCATCCTGGCCCACAGCATGGGCCTCGGCAAAACGCTCCAGGTCATCTCCTTCATTGACGTTCTCTTCAGATATACGAAGGCCCACACTGTGCTCGCCATTGTCCCTGTAAGCACCTCCTGGAATCACTTTTAAATATTGAATCAAGAAATAGATAAAATGAGGCTTAGCATGTCTGCCGAACAGTTCTGAGTTTCAGGGTTCAAATCCTTCTGGTGTGGAGTTTAAATGTTCGTCCGATGCTTGTGTTCCCACCTTCCAAAAGCATGCTTGTTAGTTTTATTGAAGGCTCTTAATTGTCTGCCCGTAGGTATGAATGTGAGTGTGTCATGTTCGTCTATTACTGGCTGGCAACCGGTCTGAGGTGTACCCCGTCACCCACCCAAAGTCAACTAAGACAGACTCTTGTCTCCTGTGAGCCTAATGAGGACAAGCGGTATTGATAAATGGTGTGGGGAACTTTTAAAAAGAAATAAAGCCTCAAATAAATATGTACTGAAAATGTAAGACATAAATGTTCACAATATGATTTTCAAAGGCATAGCCACACTAACATGTTAAAAAAAAAAGAAAAATGAATGTATTCATATTTTTGGAGAGGCATTTTAAAATTTTGGGACCCTCAATGCCAATGTCAGTGTGAACAATCCATCCATCCATTTTCCAAACAGCTTAATGCGAATGAAAAATAGATTAATCGAGTTTCATGTTCTCACATTTCTTCAAAGGATGTTGGAGCAGGAACCCCCACCCCCGACCCCCCCAAAAAATAATGTAAAAAAAAAAAAATTTTGTTTATTAAGTTATCTTGCATGGTTTCTCCCCCAGGTGAACACATTGCAGAACTGGCTGGCAGAGTTTAACATGTGGGTCCCAAAGGCCGGGGACTTGCCCCCTGATCGCGACCATCGTCTGGTGAGGCCTCGCAACTTCAAGGTTCACATCCTCAACGATGAACACAAGTGAGTCACGGAGGCATGGAGCCCAAGTGCAAAATGTGAAAGAAAAACATGTCATGGCTTACGTTTCTGCTCTTGTCTTACTCACACACACACACACACACACACACACACACACACACACACACACACACAAATGCCAGTGCATACATAAGTGAGGAAAGATTTTTTTTTTTTTTTTTTTTTTTTAATTTGAACAGCTGAACCTTTGACCTGCCATTTGGTGCTACCACACTGTACAGCTGTTTCCATTGTGTGTGTATGCGGGCGTGTGCTCACATATTCTGTATGTGTGTGGGTATGGAAAGGGGAGTTGAAGGATGACTTTTGCGTGCAGTATGCCACATTTATTTCCATTACCTTTAAGTTTTGGTGCCCGTTTTTGACATTTTAAAGCAAAAAAAAAAAAAAGTCCAGCATTTTCTGTGTGAAGTAAGCCTTTTCTCTGTGCTTATCCAGAAACACAACATCCAGGGCCAAGGTGGTAGAGAACTGGGCCCAGGATGGAGGTGTTCTGCTCATGGGCTATGAGATGTACCGCCTCTTGTCGCTCAAGAAGAACTTTGTGTCTGGCCGGAAGAAGAAGAGCAAGAAAACTGCAGGGCCTGTCGCAAACGACCTGGATGAGGAGAACCGGCAACAGAAATTGCTCATAGGTAGGGGAGATGAAAGCAAGACGAGATGAAGAGGTGGAATAAAACATGATTTTAAATAGATAATTATGCTCCTCCAGGTATCGAGAGAGCCTTGGCCAGGCCTGGTCCTGATGTGGTGATTTGTGATGAGGGCCATCGCATTAAAAACTGCCACGCCAGCACCTCTCAGGCCCTGAAGAACATCCAAACCAAGCGCCGCGTGGTCTTGACAGGATATCCACTCCAGAACAACCTGATAGAATACTGGTGCATGGTTGACTTTGTTCGGCCTAACTTCCTTGGTAAATCAATTCTTTTGTGATTTAGGTATTACGAATGCTTTTTTTTTTTTTTTTTTTTTTTTTTTTTGCTTTTTACGGTGGATCCTCAAAATGTGTCATTTTTGTGTTGTTTTTCAAAATGTATATGAATATGTTTCAGGTTCGCGGCAAGAATTCAGTAACATGTTTGAGCGTCCCATTCTGAACGGCCAGTGCGTGGACAGCACACCCCAGGACATGCTGTTAATGAAGTACCGGAGCCATGTGCTGCACAGCATGCTGGAAGGCTTCGTACAGAGGTGAGACCGCTGTCTGACTTCCCTCACGAGCGGCATGAGATTTGTCAAACTCACTGAGTAAACGCAAACACAGAGAGAGAGAGAGAGAGAGAGAGAGAGAGAGAGAGAGAGAGAGAGAGAGAGAGAGCGGACCTTGGTATAATAATTCTCTAAATGCCAAATCTGCGTATAAATAATGAAGCCCATTATAAATGCATCGAGAAAAAAAGAGACTTTTTTTTGTTTGTTTTTTTAACTCGAAAATTATTTTAAAAAAACTGATAAGCTGCCATTAAGTGTTTTCGATGGAAAACGGGGCTTGGCTATTGTCCGAAAAATTCTAAGATTTTTGAAATATTGGAAAACAAATCTCCAAACATGTGAATCCGCCAGTGTCGAACTGCGAGTACTTAATACCATCAAAAATGAGCGAATGTCAGGCGGGATTCACTGTGATCATCTCCAACTGAGCATGACTTTTAAATTTTAGTTATTTATTTATTTGGTTTTTTTTCTTGTGTTTTTTTTTTTTTTAAATGACATCATCAATGTGCTGGTATCAAAATGAATCCAGTTTAAGATAATAACACAAACAACCCCCTTCGTCTGATCTACAGTAAGTTAGAGTAGCCTTAAAAAAATGTAATTCAATGATTCTCAAATTTTTTTTTATTTATTTTTAAGTTTATTTACCAAATGAACATATTCTGACTCTTGTGTTCTAGACGAGGCCATGATGTGCTGAAGGAGCAGCTGCCCTCTAAGGAGGAGCATGTGATCCTGGTGCGTTTGTCTCCACTCCAAAGGGCGCTCTACACGGAGTTCATGAACCGCTTCAAAGAGGCGGGAAACACCGGCTGGCTCAGCCTCAACCCGCTCAAAGCCTTCTGCGTATGCTGCAAGGTGAGACAAAAGACATTTTAAACGCTCAGTTTAAACTGCCTGGACACCAAAGGCGCTCGAGCTAGGAACTTTTAAAAGATGGCTGTGTGGTTGGAGCACAGGAACTACTGGATACAAATTGTTAAGAGGTACTCTATCAGGACCAGAAGAAGACCATGTGGGGGTTGTACTTCAGAGAGTTCCAGGAACCTTGGAGACTGTGTCTTCAGTGCAACACATATCTGATCGGAACATTTTAGTTCCCAGTAACTGCAGAATCCAAGAAATTAAAGGTTCATGGAAATTTGGGTTGCAACCTTTTATGCCGGCGTTGTCTGTTACGTATTATTCTTAATGGTGGGAATGAATAGTGTACTGTAGTAAAATGGGTCATTTGAATTGGATACTTAGTGATCAATCTCAAAATATATCAGATCACATGTAATTGGATTAGAATCTATTTTCCCTGAGAAAAAAATGGTGTGTACAGTAAACAACCCGTGCTTGTCCAATGAAGTCATTTCACAATGTGGTTTTTCCTCTCTTCCTTTTTAAGATTTGGAACCATCCAGATGTGCTCTATGAGGCCTTACAGAAGGAAAACTTGGCCAGTGACCAGGACTTGGACCTTGACGACATCACCTCAGCTGCACCTACACGATGTCCCGCTGCAGCCAATCAGAAGCCAAAGCCTCTGGAAAACCCCATCCCAATTGGGGGAATGAGTCTCACCCATTTGCAGGAGAGGGCCAATCAGGTCATCACATATGAATGGGTACGTGCGAAAGGGGGCATCAGATTTGTTTTCGTTTTGTGATGTTTGTTTGGTTTTTTTCCTTTGAACCACATTTTTAATAGCAATTATCTTTTTTAGAGGATATAATTCTGAGATCATCAGCAGTCTCTTTGTATTCTTAAATAATAATAAGTAGACTTGGGCCCATTGGCTCGTTATCTTAAATCAACAGTCTCAAACTTGGGTCTTAAACTGGACAGTGATTTTAAATTGGACCGGTAAATTGGTGCCCGTTGTTAAATCCAGCTTCTTTCATTTTAGAGCAGCTGGCTAAAGTAAAACCTCTCCTTTCTCATGAGCACTTTGAAACTATAATTCATGCCTTTGTCACATCCCGGCGGGATTACTGTAATGCACTTTAGTTTGGAGTCAGCCAATCCTCCATTAAGCGTCTCCAGTTGGTCCAGAATGCTGCTGCTTGCCTCTTGACTGGTACTCGTAAGAGGGAGCACTTCACTCCTACTTTGGCATCCCTTCACTGGGTCCCTATACATTTTAGAGTTCTTTAAAAGAGCTCTACTCTATTCGATTCTACTCTTACTTGTTTTCAAATCTTTAAATGGCCTCGCTCCACCTTACCTCTCTGAGCTCCTACACACCTGCCCGGTGCCTCAGGTCTGCGGACCAGACATTATTAGAGGTGCCAAGAACTAAGCGGAGGGTCAGAGGGGATCGAGCCTTTTCCGTTGCTGGTCCCTCTCTTTGGAATGACCTCCCACTGAACATTCAGCAAGCCTCCTTGCTGCCCATCTTTAAAACTCATCTCAATCAGGCTAACGGCAACATCTTTTAAAGCAAGTCGTGGTTGTTAAGCTAACAACACTATAATATGTGATTCCGCTTCTGCGCTTCCATAGGCCAAGGACATAATGTGTGATTACAAGCCCGGCATTCTGGAGAACTCTGCAAAAATGGTTCTGCTGTTCCACCTGATCGAGGAGAGCGTCACAAAGGGAGATAAACTTCTTGTTTTCAGGTAAAAGGCTGAAAAAATACATCAGTGACTGGTTCATTTTGTTGCAAGGATTTTGTCCTTGTCACTGCTTTTCTCGACTTTTATTTGGAGTCCCATTTTACCATCTTATGACACAGTCTTTTATTTCCGTATCCTGCAGTCAGAGTTTGTCCACTCTCACTGTGATTGAGAATTTCCTGGCTAAGAGGCCGGTCCCGCGTTCTCCCAACACCTCCAGCAGAGACGCAGCCAGCCAGAACTGGGTTCGAAATCTCAACTATTACAGTGAGTGGTGGCGTTTTAATACGACTTGCTCGGTGTGTATGACTTCTGAGTTAAGATTTACTCGAAGAGTGGACAGTTTGTTTTGAATGAAAGAGTGATGTTTCACTCAAGAGGTGTAGAAAGTACATTTTGATTACAAGAAAGAATTATGGCTAGTATATGCGAATGTTGCACGTTAATCTTAATGCATTGACCTTTGCGACGATGTCCTCGGTCTGGCACTAGTAATGAGCACTGCCACCTGCTGGTTCTTTACAGGAATATAGTTTCTAGGCAGGGCTTTCACAATTTGAATTTAACCTCTCAAAATAAATGATTACGGTAGTCACTTTTTGTCATTTTGAAAGGCAAGTCAAAGTGAACATGTATTAGCGTTTCTCGCTCTTTAACGGCCGCAGATCATGTGTAATAAAGGCCGAACAATCGTAATTTACAGCCCCTCGTCCAAATTTGTCATCCAGATTATTTATTTATTCATCTCACAAGGATATCAAATGTAAAAACACACATTTATCTTACGTTTGTCTGTACCGTGTCTACAGTTTTGTTCGGATTTTGTGTAAACTGTAACAAGCTACGGATATGTTTACATTGAAAATGACTGGCATGAATAAATGTTACAGTAAATAATCTTATATGAGTTGTTTTACATCTCTGTTATGACTGTGTGGTGTTTTGAAGGACTGGATGGAAGTACAACCCCCTCAGAGCGAGAAAGATTAATTAACCAATTCAACGATCCCAACAACACCTCAGCGTGGGTCTTCCTGTTGTCAACCAGGTAACACACAGACACAATCACTTGTATACCCACAGTGATGCTATGACGGAATGTTAAGGTTGGAATAACTGGACTGCGCACCTTTGCGGGGTTTCAGGGCCGGTTGTCTGGGTGTGAACTTGATCGGAGCAAACCGTGTGGTGGTTTTTGATGCCTCGTGGAACCCATGTCATGACGCCCAGGCCGTTTGCCGTGTCTATCGCTATGGTCAGAGGAAGCAGTGTCACATCTACAGGCTGGTGTGTGATTTCACGCTTGAGAAGAAAATCTATGACCGCCAGATCTCCAAACAGGGCATGTCCGGTGAGTGCGTTACTGTGTACACAGTCAGTAATCGAGCCTAATGTAATGTGCTAGTGTTTTGGTTTTTTTTTTTTCTTTTATCCCCCTTTCATTATTTTAACTCTTCCTTCTGCATCATTCAGACCGGGTGGTGGATGATCTGAACCCTGTGCTGACCTTCACCAAGAGAGAGATGGAATCTCTTCTTCACTTTGCCGAAGAAGAGCCGGAGCCCCGCCAAGTACAGCAGCTGCATCCTCGGGACAGCATGGATTGCGTCCTCGGGAAGGCATTGTGCCTCTTTCCACACCTCATCACCAAGGTAGATGAACAGAGATTAATACCACTTTCCTAATCTACTTGCCTAAATCATTCATTTTGACTATTTATGTATTTTTTTCTCTCATCTCATGATGCTGGCCCCTTCGGCTTCAACCTTAGTTAAACAGATCATTCAATTCTACCCCTGATATGAATTTATTAATATAATGTCATCGTATTTAGTTCAGTTTTGTGCGTTTAAAAAAAAACAAAAAAAAAAAACATACAGCATGTCTCACCTCCCCTTCTTTAATTCATTGCAGCAACCGTTCCCCCACGAGTCGCTGCTCCTGGACCGCAGAGAGCTGAAGTTGAGCACCGCTGAGAAGAAGGCTGCAAAAAAAGGTTACGAGGAAGAGAAGAGGGCATCTGTGCCATACACTCGCCCTTCCTATGCTCACTACTACCCAGCCAGTGACCAGAGCCTCACCAACATCCCCGCCTTCAGCCAGAGAAACTGGTTTGTAATTCAGAATATTCATAACTGATTAAAAAGCTGTCTGAGGATCAGAGTGGCCCTGAGTCAAAAGGATATCATGTAGTTTCAACTCGTGTCCCTGGCGCAGTAAATGTGATTTTTATTTATTTATTATTATTTTATTTATTTTGGTAATGAAAAACTATCTAAAACATTTATTGAATTGATTTTGAAATAAATGCATCAGTATTGTGTTTTTATTTTGAACTAAAAATGAAGTCATCGTCATCTGGTTAAATAAATGAAATCCATCGAAACTATTCTCAGGCGACCACCCCGCACTGACGACAAAATGTCGGCCAATGTCCGACCGATCCAGGCCACTCCAGTTCCCGCCGTACCTGGCCAGGTATCTGTAGGCCCGGCTCCGACTTCCAAAGACTCATCGGCGTCTAGCCTCGGCGGTTTTCCTGTCAACTGCTTGCAAAAAGCCGGAGTGTTTGTGCAGAAAATCATCACCACCACAGGTAAGCAACACGTACTGTGGCTGATTTTTCTATTCAATTTCTTCTGATTCTACGCCTGTTTCAGCCCAATCTCAAAGAACTAGACAGGAGGTTATGCAATGATTACCTCCTTTTTGGGTTAGTCGGCGTCTTATCTTAGATGAAAACTACTACTAAAAACTTTGAGCGATACGGCATGACCACTGCACTATTTTTGTTACGCCCTAGCAGAGGTCTGCTCTTCATTGTGTGACACGATAGTTTTTCCTCCACGAAAAGCACATTGTCACAAATACTGCATATTGTTTCTCTTTTAGATATGGTGATTCCAGGCACCAACAGCTCAACAGATGTCAAAGCCAGAATTACTGCAGGAGAGAGCATCCATGTCATTCGAGGTACCAAAGGTAATCCTCATGATTTCAGTTTTGGTACTTGAGGCTTATATTTGGTTTGAGTCTTGTCAAATAAGAATCTCGTCAACTTCAATGTCAACTGTTGGTTTTCTGGATTTTAGGAACCTACATCAGGACATCAGATGGACGAATATTTGCTGTCAGAGCAGCTAACAAACCTAACATGTCAGATGAGAATGCTGCAATACCACACAAAGGTGAGAAGACTTATCTGAAATGTAATAACTCTAATCATGCATTTCTAACATGTTCCTTCTTTTTAGGCATTGAGAGCTTAGTTTTAGCCATTCTCTAATTGACAAAACAGATGTCACGTTTTGTTGTTTTCCTGATTAAAATGTGATGATTTCTCTTTAGAGCCCCAAGAATCTGCAGACGAGCAGCCAACAGCCGGAAGTAACAGTTGTCCATCACCTGACCAACAGCAGCCAGTCACGCCCAAGAATTTGCCCCGCTCCCTTTCCCCCGACAGCCCAGAGATAATCAGTGAGTTTCAGCGCTACACCGCACGCAAGGGAAGCCAGCCGGAAAGGGAGGACGGGAGTAAATTGGACAATCCGCATTCAGCGAAACTGGCCCAAAGCAACAGTGGCAGCGGAAATGTGCGCCACCCTGAAGCCAAAAGAGCGAATGTCATCCAGCACAATAAGGATGCCACAGCTGCACAAGACTTGAGAACAAGCTCCAAGCGCAAAGCCTCCACCCCGTTGTTGGATGAGAAGCCGAGAAAGCAGCCGGCTGCTGGCAAACACTTAGCACCTTCTTTAGCCTCCCACGGTTTACCCTACGCCGGTGGCTACGGCCTCCCTCAGGCCTTCAACCCCGCCGTGCTGGGTGGCTCATTGGGACACCCGCTCTACATGGGGGCAGGCTTGCCTTTCTTCCACCCTTCTCATAGTGCCCTAGGTGACCCGAGTTTCATGCCGGAGCTGTTTGGTTTAGGCACAGTCCCCACCTCCTCCTCATCCTCTGCACTGTCCACTTCTACTGCCACTGATGTTTCCTCTTCCTCATCGCAGCCCTCCTCTGCATCAAACGCTTCCACTTTGGCTCCAGGCACCCTGCCGCCCTTCATGCTGAGCCCAAGCCTGTCAGGCATGGCAGGGATGCTGCCACCAAGCTTTGCCTTCTCTTATAGTCAATCTCTGGCGGGCTTGTATCGGGGGTCAATGCTCCCTGGTGGGCTTCCCGGTCCAGCGGCCACTCCTGGTCCAGCTGGAGCAAGCTTTCTTTCACAATACACTTCAACCGCTGGCTCCAGCTCCTCCTCCTCCTCATCGTCCCCTTCATCCTTTTCACCATCTGCGCACTCTGAAGACCAGAAGCCCAGAGCAATTGTCAATGGCAGCAATGTCAGCAGTCCCAGCAGCTTGGATGACAACGAGGAGGTAATTTAAGTGAACAGCCAATGAAAACCATGATGCTTGGGTTGGATTTGTTCGGAATAGGATCTTTCCGATGAGGGACAACAAACATGGCGTTGCATAAATGACATCACGTCTCCTGTTTGTGCCGACTGCATCGACTCAAATGTCTTGATGCTGAATCTCTCAAGTTAGAACCTGTGGACAATCTTTTACAGGACAGAAGAAATTTGAAATCAGAAAGTTTTGGGGCGTCTGCCTTTGAAATGTAACAATCACTGGACAAAAATAGCCCGCAGTGACTGAAATGGCCTCTTGATGTTCGTCATGTAGAGAAAACTAAATGGCACATTTGCCAGGGGAAAAAAATGATTCGGTATGCTAACCGGTAGCAAGGGTTATTATGCCTGTATCAGTCTGGTTATTACTGTATGTCTGTATCAGTCAGTAGGGATGGGTCTAATCGTATATTTAAGAATTTCATTGATTGTTTGATTGATCATCATGTCCTGAACATGTTGAGGCTGAATGGAGTGAGCTACTTGACTGCGGCCAGCAGAGGCACTGTTGGTTCAGCCTCAACCAGATGTTTGGTGTTTAAAGAGGTGGAGCTTGACATCACATCCACACAGACCTGCTGTGGTTGAACTCTCAGGAGCTGCATTATTCTGCCTCATAAAAGTGGCTGCAGGAAAGGAAGAATTCACAACATTTAGAGAGAGAAACACTCTCTTTCTGTTACAAATTTGCCCATCCGTGTCGTAGTTTGTCACATCCACTCTTGATACTGAATATTTTTTTTCACAAATTTTAAATAGTCCCCCCACGAATCTGCAGCGAAGTGTTGATTAGGCGGACACCAATCCTCTTTTGCGCTTGCCGACAACAAGAGCAAATGTTGATTCCACAGCTTGAAAGTTGATTTTCCGTGGGAATTTTAAAAATTGCCTAAAATGACCAGTTATAAAGCAAATTAATTTACGAATGAAGTAAGAATTCTTTTAGGAAATGATCTGCAAAACCAAAACACTGTGGAACATTGTGGTCATTAAAAAAAATCGGTATCAGTCTCTGACAGATTTATTGAATAATAATAATTGATTTTATTTTGGTTACTGATAAAGTGCAAAACATTCAACCAAACTATGGGTTTGAGGCAGAACAAGTGATATTAAAGCAAAGATTTAAAGTGTAAACTAGCCACTTGGCCCGGATATTGTAAACATACTGCAAACAGTATTATCATAAATGTAATTTAACCACACGGACGGTTTTTTATGGTTGTTTTTTTTCCCCCCCCCACACAGTCATTTATGACGTGTGACAATAACTTGACGTCATATTTAGTAGACGTTTCCGTTACCTGACATCATCCTTACTGGAGGTCAAAGTGAAATGAAGAGACGGGAAAGCGTTGTCTCATTGCGCAATACTGTACAATAATAATTCCAACACCTCCAGCATCGCTCATCTGTCGGTAAAAGATAATAGAATGCATGCGTGTTACATCATAGACGCGTTCAGTTAACATTAGAGGACGCGTTTGAGTTGTAATGTGAACGAGAACATTTTTTTTAATTAATGAATTGGGCATCATGCCCCGCAGGGTGAACGTAGCCTGTCTGACCGCGACATCTAGCGGCTGGGATGAAAACTACATTTAAATGTGACGCATGATTCCTCTTTATTTCCGCGAACAGCTTTCAATTCCGCGGAGAACTTTGAAATCCGCGACGAATTCCGCGACCGCGGATGCCTGCGGGGACTATTTAAAGAAAGCAGAACTTTTTGAAGCATTTTGAACCCCTCTGCCAGGCGAGGGGCATCGTGTCTTTCTTCTTGCAAGGAAATATAAAGACAGGATGATGAGATAAAACTGTTAAAAAACTTATAACTCTTAACAGAATGTATGCTTAATCAATTGCCTTCAAACTAGGCCTTTATAAAAGACTCCTCCCACTGAGGCATGTGACATGGCATGACATTTTTTGTGTGTATTTTATCTTTGCCTAAAAACCGCCATGAGAAAATGAGGAAAAACTGTGCTCTCTTTGTAGCGGGGAAACAACCACCAACAGAAAATGCCTTTTACCGCTTCACTTTCTGAATGTGAACTGTGAGAGAGGAGATGCAAAGAGAGTTAAAATCTCACCCACAGTCTTACTGTAGCCTAGTGACAAATGATGCAAAACACTCGAGCCTATATACTGTATTTGTACATGCCAACAGGAATCAAGGCGACTACACCTGAGTTTCAGTTTTAGTGTTGTTGTCAGTGTACGTTTGTTGTCATTTGAAATGTGTAAAAAAAGGAAAAAAATGGTTTGTTGATATTCCACCTTTTGCTCTGCTGGTTTTTCAGTGTTAATTGCACCTCATTCATTTGACTTGAGGTTTTTATTGAAAACATTCTGGATGAGAACTTTGCCAAAAACAGCACATCTACAACCTCAGTCATCGAGGATTGTGTCTTAAGTGACCAAAAATAAAAAATACTGTTTCCTCAAATAATGACCACCCCTCTGGCATTAACTGTCATTATCGCTGTTCATAGATGTGGTTGCTCAATCTCAGAAAGGATTAACCGTGCTGTGTGTATAATGCTAACCAAAAGAAAAGCACTTAAGAAGCACATGAACTGTCTGCAGTTTTTTCGCATGTCTAATATATAAGGGTACTGATAATGTGTACAATTATTCCCGAAATCATTTTGTACAAACAAAGAAAGGCCTCCCCATATCTGCAGTTCAGTAAACAAATACCCCTGGCTGCTATTTGTGGAAACACGCTAAAAAAATCCCACACAGGTCCATTTTGTCAATTTGACTGTGCAGTTAGCACAGCACTACACTGTAAAATTAGAGACACTTTTATGTGTAGACAAGGCCAAAAAAAAAAAAAGCTCCATTGCATGACCAAGCCCCCTTTTTGAGCTGCAATCCCGACGCTGATGCATTTGACCCCAGTGTAATCACATGTGCTCTGACACCATGCTTATGTGACAATGTCGAAGTGAGAGCTTTCAAAACTATCAGCTCGTTTGTCAAACAAAACAAACTCTTCACATCCATAAGCAGAGAATAATTGTGAAATAATTGTTTTGTGCTTTATTCTGAAATTATGAGTTTACCTGTTTCATTTTTTATTTGGACAATGTTTGAATTTACCAAGGTTATTTATTACAATGAATATTTATTCATTTGTATACTTTTTAATATCTTTTGTATTTTATTTTTTTTGTACGGTCACATAAGTTTTGTTGTTACTAAAACTGGAAAAAGCATTTGGTTTGTCCTGGGGGGAAAAAAATGATGCTCTGTTCCAGATCATATTTCAAATGCAGCTTTTCCATGTGCGAACCAACCAATCAGTAATAACCAGGAGAGTGTGGAGAGAAAGTTTGAATAATTATCTCCTCTGACAGTTCGACAAATCATCTCTCAAATTATGTTATTTTGCATAATTAGTCATCCGTCTGATCTTGCGTTGACTGTCATTTAAGGTGAAACCTTTTCTATATTTGACGACAGATGCTTTCATGAAAGGTCTGAAGTAAATGTCTGCTCACAATTGGATATCACAATGATAGGAGACATTTAATTGTATCACACATAAGCACAACCCACAGTTCATTGTTTAGAAAGAATCCTTATCTTGTGATTTCTATTTTTGTTTTGTATCAGAAATGATTGATGGCAAAAGGTTTGGATGGCAGTTGCTGTACCAACTGACTTTTGTTTTACAATGTTTTCAACTTGAACTTGCATATTTATTTAAATGAATCAAAGAAGTCCAATGGGCAGAGTTGTCTGCCTGAACTCCATTCACAGTGAGAAAATTGAAACTGCTGTTCTGGAGCACTGACGAAAGTCAAACTCTGATGTGTAGTGAATCTATGGATTGATTGAGTGTATGACCTTAAATTACATTACTCTTGTGTAGGCGAGTTCTTTGTTCATTTGTTATAAGTTTGACAATAAAAGAATTGTGTTCCAAATGTTACTTTCTCATTTTCTTCGTATTGACAAACAAATGTGTTTCCCCCCACTTTAAAACTATACACAAAGTAAATATATTTAATATAATAACAACGGTATTTTGGTCCTGGATTTTGCATAAAAAAATACCATTTGAGAATGGCACAAAACTGCCGAACAGCAAACTAATTGTAATTTTAAATAAATATTTTTCCACGGGGTTTTTTCACATGAATGAACTGCCTCAAAATGTGTATATCTGTGTATATCCTGCATCTCATTCCAAAGATGCAAAAAAATATTGAGACCTACTCATGTAGCACCCAAGCCATATCTTGCCAGCGAGTGCTGAATGGTGATTTTACAATTTGAACCGAATTTGCACATTACCAAAAAATTACATGTTTTTTAATATTTTGTACTTTCCGTGATCCTCCCCACCCCCATTTCCCACAAAAAAAAATCTGACCAGTAAAGTGCATTGCCACGCCCCTTTGAAATGGTACCTCAGATTCGCGAAATCGACGAATAAAACTTTAGTCTGACGTCACTTGACAATGTTCCCCATGGAGACACAGACCATAAATGACACAACATAAATTACAAAATTATGAACATATGTTTATCTATTTTATTTATTGTTACATAAAATGAGGACGTCATCCACATGAGGTAACACGACGTTGTTCGGTGAAAGGCTTGGAAGATATGGTATTCCTTTATTTTTATGAATTAAGGAAATTACGAAGGTTTGCAACATTATGCTGTATTCAAGGAAGGCGAGGAATCCGAATTATCCCACACGTTTTGTCCCAGTTCCGACCTCAAAGCGTTCCAAGCGAATGTAAACAGAGATGGCCTATTCCAATGAATTGCTTGAGCATTCTGACATGGCCCAAGAGTATTTCATCACGTTTCACGACTTGGTAGAGAAACATATTGAAATTGGAAATTATTTTAAACAGGCAAATTCTTGGCCACCTTTGTGATACAAGAACTCAAATTCCCAGCATGGTCTTGTTTAAAAAAAAAAAAAAAAAAGTTTCGTGACTTGACGGTTTTTCGCCCAGCGCTGATGACGGTGGCAGGCGGCGTTGGTTTGACGCTAAGACTGGTTCATGACGGGAAGCTTACTTCATGCTCATATTTATATTTCCATCAGCATTACACAAGACAAAGGATGTTTTAATGAACGGAAAAAAAGGACGCGTGAAAAAGATATTGGCCGTTAACTAGCTAATATCGACCAGCGGCGGTGATTGGTAAACGTATCCGGGGTTGTTGAGACGAAGGCCTGTTGCTGGCTACAGGAAATCCTCGCATTCGTCCTGGAGAAGCCACCGGGGGCTGAAGCGTCTCGCAGGGTAGCGACTGGAGCTCTTTGGACGGGATTTCTGGACCATCTTAAAATGCGAGAGGTTTAGCTAGTCTCAAAAGGTAACTCGGACGTTTTTTGTGCTTCCCCATGGCGGGTACACACCAGCTCACGGCGTCTTCGATTAGCCAGCCAGCTAACATTAACGCCCCCATGTTGAATTGAATATTGAATTGTATACAACTTTATTGTCAAATTGACAAGCTAAGTGGCAAGCTATCGCAAGAAACCGGTTACTTTGGAACACGTTGGTAGTTGATATTGAAACACTTTGCTCTTGCAGCTACGTTGAATCACGCATTCGCCGTATTTCTCCCTCGGCACAAGGAAAACACGTTGGGAAACAGATCACAAGACCTCTGTGCTAAAACGTAACAGCCTCTTGCATCCTTTTGGGCTCTTGTTTTGTTGTTAATTTCCTCCAGTCCAACGTTCGAAGTGAGTGCAGTTTTTCAGTTGAACGTAATGAAATCCTCGCCTGGGCCTACTCGACGCTACCTTCAAATGTCTCTCCCAGAGAAATGAGCCTTGTGACTTCAAGTGTCCCCTCTTCGCCTCGCTGTTAACCTCGAAACGACTCCACTTGGCCTGTGGGCTTTCTGTGCTCTGGAGGGATCTTTCTCATTATGAATCGTTACCTGCCTGTGGCAAGGCAGCACTTTCTGGCTGCACTAGCAAGCACCAGTGTGGTCGTGAAAGCCATCAGTGCTCTTGTGGTTCTCCTCTACCTGCTCTCCTGGGCTGTGGACACATCATATGCACTGGGGGTTACCCCGGGCTATCTGTTCCCACCTAATTTTTGGGTGTGGACGCTGGTCACCCATGGGATCGTGGAGCAGCACGCGTGGAGCGTGGTTATCAATGTTGGGACTGTGATGTCTTGTGGCCGCCTGCTGGAGCCTTTGTGGGGTGCCCTGGAACTGCTGATCTTCTTTGCCGTGGTAAATGTATCTGCAGGCCTTCTAGCAGGCCTCTCCTACCTCCTCACCTATGTGGCCACCTTCAACTTGGACTTCCTGTTTGCTGTCCGTGTCCACGGAGCAGCCGGCTTCCTAGGAGGTGTCCTGGTGGCACTGAAACAGACCATGGGGGATACAACGGTACTCAGAGTTCCACAGGTAAGGCTAGCAATATCTGGTATGCGCTGATTTCATTTGGAAGAATCGTGTTTATCATGACAATACTGATAAGATAAGATAAAACCTTTATTTGTCTCACAATGGAGAATTTCCCAATTTCCAGTAGCAAAATTATTAAAGGGAGAAGTCGAAGAACAAAAGTGGATGTAAGCACAAAAGTATATAAATAAATATCAATTATAAAATATCAATATAAGCATAGGGCGGCCCGGTGTCCAGTGGTTAGCGCATCGACCTCACAGTGCAGAGGTACCGGGTTCAATTCCAGCTCCAGCCTCCCTGTGTGGAGTTTGCATGTTCTCTCCGGGCCTGCATGGGTTTTCTCCGGGTACTCCGGTTTCCTCCCACATTCCAAAAACGTGACATTCAATGGCAGGCTCATTGAACACTCAAAATTGTCCCTAGGTGTGAGTGTGACCGCGGATGGTTGTTTGTCTCTGTGTGCCCTGCGATTGGCTGGCAACCGGTTCAGGGTGTCTCCCGCCTACTGCCCAAAGACAGCTGGGATAGGCTCCACTTGAACACCTAATTTTGACAGAATCATCAGCTAGTTGAATGGGTGGATACACACCTTCTCTGAGCTGCATGCCTGATACGCCACTCAAACGAATGGCAATAAACCAATCAGAGGCCAATATTTTAGGGACATGAACTCGAGCACAGCAATGGTTGCTTTGATAGAGGTCATGGGAATTGTTTATGGAAAAGCCTGCGGTTACCTGGTGTAATTTATAATGGTGTAGAATATAAAATACACAAATGTATAAGCGAATATGCTTCACAACAAGAAATGCAAAAAAAAAAAGTGGAATGGTGAATAGCAAAGAGGATGAGGGAACAGACAGGGTTTCACTGTTATTACTTTGTGGTATTTTAGTGACTACACCTTTTCCCTTCAAGAATTAAACCCTCTCTTTTCTAATTTCCCAGGTAAGGCTCAAAGCAGCTCCAGCTTTGGTACTCCTCCTCCTGGCCTTACTGCGCCTCTCAGGCCTACTGGAGAGCTCCGCCCCCATGGCTGCATACAGTTACGGCGCCCTGTCCGGCTGGGTGTACCTGCGCTTCTACCAGAGGCACAGCAGGGGCCGCGGTGACATGTCGGACCACTTTGCCTTTGCGAGTTTCTTCCCTGAGGCGCTGCAGCCGGCGGTGGGTCTGCTGGCGGGTTTTGTCCACGCCACCCTGGTGAAGGTGAAGGTGTGCAGGAAGATGGTGAAGAGGTACGATGTGGGCGCGCCGTCGTCCATCACCATCAGCCTGCCTGGGACAGACCCGCAAGATGCTGAGAGGAGAAGGCAAGTTTCATTAAAAACAAAATCTGCTCGGTTGGATTTTTCGGATTTTTGGAATGGCCCTGTGGATATTTTGAAGCCAGTTCAGAATCTGATATTTGTCAGAATAAAATTCTAGTCAGCAATTAATTGGCTAATTAATTAAGAAATACAAAATGAATGAAATAGATTCTCTTTTGGTACCTTAAAAGCTTGCAAATAGTAATTATATGAATTACAGGCAGAACATTTAACTGTTTTACAATAGTTTGTCCGTTAGGTTTTGTTTGACTTTACATCATAGACAATTTTTATTTTTGGATTTATTTTGTGGTGGGTGGGTGGTAGGATGTTTGAATGTCATTGTTTTATGTATTGCTTGTGTAAAAACAGAAACAAACCAACATATTTTTGCCACAAATCATACACAAAGTTGACTTTGCTCATGTGTAGGTTAACTGAGCCTAAATTAAAGAAAGGTCCGGTATTCATCTAGATGTGCTGTATCAATTGTGTTAAGCCTGTGTGGATGACAATCTGCAGTCATCTCTCAAATAGAACAAGAAAAGATAACCAGATGACAAGGGAGGGATTTATTCTCCGTCCTTGTAATAGGAGTAAAGAAGTACCGTAACAATCTTTTCCTCCTCGCTGCAGACAACTGGCCCTCAAGGCTCTCAACGAGCGTTTAAAGCGCGTGGAGGACCAGTCAGCTTGGCCCAGCATGGACGACGAGGAAGATGACGAGGTAGATGAGATCCGGACCGACACGCAACCACTCCTCCCTCGTGACCCGCCCTCCTCAACGCCCCGACCAGCAGCAGGGGGAGCCGCCGCCATAACCCTCTCCTCCACGTCCTCATCGTCAATGTTGCCGAGTGGCGGAGCACAGGCCACCCCGGAGTCGAGCATCATCAGTTTCGAGGACGCACCCTCTAGATCGTAACCCTTTGAAGAGACGCAATGTGCATGTCGCTTACAGGCGTACTAACTTGAGTGATGGAAGGTGGCGGACCTGTGCACACACACACTCCATTACTCTCGCCGTTGAGTCCAAACGTGGGTTTCGTGTGTCTTTTCACTTTGCACGTGTTGGATGTGCTCAGTGTAGTCAGTCAGGCCATTGCTTCCTTCTTGCGTTCAGGCATAAGTTAAGCGGCCATTCTCTTGTGTTCTCATTTAATTCCAATTGACCTGGGGGGATTTCCACGGCTCTGTGTTTTTTTTTTTTTTTTAATATTTAAATAAAGGCAAGTTGGATGTATTTTTTTTTTCCTCCCCACAGCAGCCACAGATGTTTGCCAAGAGAACGCTTGTTCATGACAGAGGCTCACTCTCCAAAAGACAGACTCTTTGCTGTCAAGGTTTTGGTTTGGTAACACGGTGAGGAAGAGGAGAAGTACAGAAAAGGTTTTGTCAGCACAAGCTGTTCGAGACATGGGAGAAGCTCCGGGAGATCGGCAATGGGAAATAAAAATCTTTGGGATTTAAAAGTAAAGTGCCAGCTGTGAATATTCCGGACCAGTTTCCAGTTTTATGACTATCCTCAAACCGAGAACTGCTTATTTGTGTGTCTCCCCCCTACCCCCACAGATTTGTTTACCACTTGACAGAAGCAACTTTTTGTATACACAGAGTTGGATGTCTTACGTTAACGTCTGATCTGTGATATTTTAGGCTGAGTCAGCATCTAATTTGTGTCCTACTTGACTCACTGTTTTAAGAGTTCGCAATAACTGTTTCAACTGCTGGTATTGCTGCACTTCTAAGGAGAATACAATTTACCGGGTTTGAATATGCTACACAGTCAAAATTTACAGGTTTGGTTTTGATAGGATCTCCCGCGCTGATTATGCAGAGGGTGAATGTCTGCTTGAACAGAGGATGTTTGCACAGATAGTCAGCATTGTGCTATTTTTGGTACTATGCATTTGTAAAATTGTCGCACCTTTCAAATTAAGACACATTATTCCATTGACCGAATGTAGCATGAATGAGGATAAAGATCAGATTATTGTGGGCAAGTTTAATTAGACACACACAAAAAAAGACCATTTTGCTTCGGATACAAACATCGAGGAAGAAATTGTAACCTCTGTTGTATTATGAAATGCAGTTCATGTGTTGATTTGACAAGTTATGGATTAGACAAAAAGGAGTGGTTGTGTTTCATGGATGTTGAAGACGAGTAGTTATGGAGCCACTGATGTAATCAAAGGGGATTTTGTTATGTCTGTGTCACGAACTTTTTGATCAGTCTGGAAGTTGACAGAGATGGGCAAAAAAAAAAAATGAATTTACCGGTAAGCCATGAACTGTCTTTCAAAAAAAGAAGTGCAAAGAAATAAATCATTAGAGTGGACAGAATTCCTGCCATGTTTGTGGGATTTGTATCCCCCCCCCCTTTTTTAATGACTTTGGATCAATGTTGATCAAAGTCCAACTGATTCCAAATGAAATTTGACCAAGTACTGAAAAAAATGCAGTTGAGCTTGGACTGAGGAAAATGAAATGAACATGGTGATGAGCGGGCAACCTCTGGCCGCTTGTGACCATTTAATCCAGCCTTGCATGCAATTTTGCGGGGGGGGGGGGATTATAAAAGGATAGGTTATGAACAAAATGTTTGATTATTGCATCATATTTTTTCAGCAATTTTGTAAAATGCTCAGATGAGTTTAAAAAAAAAAACGGACATTCCCTGACCGGAAAAATATTCTGCACCCCTGATTTCATCATGTATGCTTGAGTGGGATGGAGGGTTTTTCATAACTAAAAGCCAAACTGTTATTTTCTTTGATTGTTTTCAAGACAAACTACCCCAATTGTTATACAGCTGAGCATTTAAGACCAGTTGCATTGGTTAATAAATAAAAATGGGCAAAAGCAAATTCTGTTTCATGCATTATTTTATGTGACGTATGACGGTTCATCAACAGCAGCATGAAAACATGATTTCATTGGTTTATCTTAAAACTCATTCACTCCCAAAGACGTATTTAGATGTCTTTTCAGACGCCACACATTTAATCCCAGCTCCTCATTTTATATTGACTGTACTTGAAAAGGGTCTGAAAATGGCTGGCCATAAAATGTGATTTACCAGTATGTCAACATGATGGAGGTGCTGTGTTGTCAAAGAAGACCATTCAGCATTATTTTATTTTCACTCATGTAGTTTATATATTATGTTTATAATATATTGTATTATAATATACGAAGGGATATATTTTTTTATACAGTAGATATGTTTTTGTTGTTGTGCTGAACATATCTTGGGTAATCATGGCCAAAAATTTCAACCTTGGTTTCATCGCATCAGAGCATATATTCACTCCATGTCTGTGGGAGATTTCAAGTGTGTTTTTACAAAATGGAGCTGTGTTTGGATATTTTTCTCTGGAAAATAAGGCTTCCGTCTTGCCACCCTTGCCCCATAGCTCAGACATATACGTAGCGAAGAATGGAGTTTGATGTCACATGAAATGACATTTCTGCAACGACTTCAATGTTGCGTCGTGTAGGCCTCTTGGCAAGCTCCTTGACCAGTTTTCTCCTCGTCTCTTCATCAGTTATTGAATGTAATGTCACTGTTTTTCTATTTTCTTCACTTGATGACTGGCTTCGCTGTGTTCCATGGTGTGTAAATTACCATTAATGCACCGTTCTCCAGACTGATAGTTTTGAACAATCAGACCCCCCATCCCATGCCGTTGAAGCGCTTATTCTGCGTTAACCAGAGGCGCTTTGAACATATGGCAGGTGTGTGCTGACCAGGGTTGGCTTGTCAATAGAGGGCGCCAGCCGCTAAGGCACCGGCCTCCCACCTTGAAAGAGACACAAATACAATGAAAAATGAAATAAAACATGATCCCACAAATAGGAATATTCATTTTTCAGCCTGATGTATAATTTGTGCATACCACACACAAATAACCAAATCACACACATGCAAGCATGCGAAAAAGAAGAGATGTCAGAGTAGTTGTAACTTGAGTAATTGCCGAAACTGTCCACTGGGTGGGGCAGTTAGCTCAAACGACAACCAACAAAAAGTTGGATTTTGCTCGGCGCTTTTCATCCTGATGGGAAAACAAATAAATTAAAAATCCAGAAAGTTGTAGATGGCTAACAGTATAATATAAGACTTTACATAAGCAGATTTTGATTTATTTCAATTAAGTACATGTGCCACTTGAAAACACGATATGATTCCTTTATAGTGATTAATATATTCGGCACTCGAGCAAATGTTCCCATTCCCGCAGTCTTGTGGTTGAACGTGTACGCGCGTCGTCATGATCAACGTAGACGCGTTCGCGCAGGTGTGGCTCTTGAGCTCGTGCCCGACGCCCCTCCCCCTCCCAACCGTGCCCGCGCGTTCCCGTGAAGCCTTGCAATGTACCACAGTAGTACGCGGACAGTCTAGTGTGGGAGCAACGCCGAGCGACTCTTTTCCGTTGAGCACCACTGTCTGGTCTTACCAGTCCGTACGCACCGCAGGTAAAACTTTACTTTCTACACTTTCACTCGAATACGGAACGATATTGATCATGTGTTCTCCTGTCTCGAAGCAGACAGAAGTATTGTTAAAGTTGCGCTCGTCTAATAAAGCTGACTCGGTTAGCCGACGCTAGCTTCGTCAGCTCCCCCAGCCCCCCCTCTACGACGACCTCCATTGCAAAATGCCGCTTCCGCACTTTCCAGACAGTTGAGCTCAGGGTGAAAGCTGCTTTAATTTGAATGAATTATCCTCTGTGGCGTAAACAAAACAGCCAATCTCACAAGAGCAGCTTCACAAATGTGGTCTCCGATTTCTTTGTTTGTTAAAATCGAAATGTTGACAGTTGTCCTAGATTGTCGAAACGGCTGTAGTCAAACAAAGAGGCTGGCTTCTCGACTTGCCTCGGCTGGGCAGACGGCTCGTTGACTTTTCAATAAATCGGCTCATAATCAAACAAACCACAACAATTTATTATTTCGTCTTAGCTTTTTTTTTTGGTTCACCGAGATACATGAATGAATAACGAGCTCCACTTATTTGAAAACGTCTTGAACCGACGTGCCATTTTACATGTAACGCTTACATATTGGATTTTTATGTGGGGTTTTTTTTTTGTCTTCCCTTGGTTGCTTTTAGTCATACGTCAAACGTGGGTTTTTGTGGGTTTTTTCTTTTCTCGCCGGATGTTGAATTTGAAATGAGGCCACCTACACGTTCTTCTACTGCGGACACACTAGCCATCTGTTGCCTCTGTGATGACGCCATTTTTCTGGTGACCCACCCAGTGGCAGGCTGCTTTAAAAACACTGGTTTTACTGGGAAGCTCCCGTTAGAAAGACACTCAATTGTCTCTCTCTGCTATCGTGGTTTGGGCTGTGATAACATGGGAAGCGCCTATACCAATTTCTTTCCAGACTGAAGACGTCTAGTTCTGCTTCTACACTAATACCAAGTACCGATAATTCATAACGCCCTCACACTTGGCAACTTTGAAATGTTTAATCAAATATTGTTCAAAAACGCAACCTTCCATGAAAATGGCATAGATTTCACTCAATGTAACATGGTGACAAATGGTCATGATTGACATTTTGGCATCCAACAGCATGTATTTCTAGTGGTCTTGCCAGACATTTCACTTAAACGTAGCATATAACACAAGGCAGCTCATTTATGTGGTATCTTAGTCTGAACACGAGGGGCACTATGTAAAAAGAGTAGTTGGATACGAGGCAAAGAAAAATGTAGAGCTGGGTTGCAACACGGATGCCGTAGTACCGCTGTGTTAAATAGAATGAGTAAAATGAAATACAAGACTATTTCTTGAAAAAAAATATAAAAAGTGTGCTTCTGTACTTTGTCTGAATTTCACCATTTTTGTTTATTTCTACTCATGTCTTTCCAGTGGGTTGCGAGCCAGTAGTTCCTGTACCCGAAATACCGAGATTCCTTGCATGCGCAGAACACAAAGAAATGTCCCTTTTAACAGAGATATTCCGATATGCATTTAGATGACCAAATATTCACATTAGAAATGGAGTTAGCCAGGGGTGAACCCGAACATGTTCATATTCGGGTTTTTGCATTTTCATGGCCTTGCACAACCGAAATACTGACAATATTCCAATTTTGAAAGGGTTATTGACTACATGGAAACATAGTCAGCGATTCAATTTGAGAAAGTGGTCCATGTATCACACTTTGAGAGATAATGGCCGAAACAGCAACACTTCAGCAAGAGAAGATGAGGTACATCCACACCGTGGTGGAAACTCTGAAACATTCAGGGAAATTCCCCTTCCCTTTAGGAATACAACCCAAAAGAACAACAAATTGTTAAATATTTATTTTCGGAGATTGGGGAAATTTAGTCAAAGGACCATCCTGGAAATGCCCAATCCACATGGTCATTTGGATTCAGTGCGTGTTTAACCAAACTGCCTCAATATAAGAATGTAAGAAGCATAACAACAGAAACAAAAATCATGTGCCAACTGAACTCAGATGAAGCAGTGACAAGAGTGCGTGCCAGATCCTGCCAAGGCTTAAAGTCTATGACCACCGCTACCAAGGATGTTTTTCCACACTGGCCTTTGCTAATTACAACGAGCATTCGTTTGGAGTGAAGTGGTGCCCATTGCGCACCTGCTCAATTAATATGCAGCAACATGCTTGGAAGGCGCTTCGCATGCATCAAGCCTAACAGATGTGGGGTGGATTAGTCAATGGACATGTTCAGTTTCATCAGTAGTATTCCTTAAATCCGCCACCATCTTGTACAAACCCAATCCCAATGAAGTTGGGACGTTGTGTTAAACATAAATAAAAACAGAATACAAATGATTTAGGAATTATGTTCAACGTATATTTAATTGAATACGCGGCAACGACAAGACATTTAATGTTCAAACATAAACTTTGTTTTTTTTTAGCAAACGATCATTAACATTTTATGGCTGCAACATATTCCAAAAAAGCTGGTACTAGGTCAACCCTAACCCTTTTCTTTGAACATTCAATAAATGTTTGGGAACTGAGAACACAAATTGTTGAAGCTTACCTATTCACGCGTAATGTACATTTTCAGCTGTTCAACAGTCCGGGTCCATTGTCCATTGTCGTATTTTGCGCTTCATCGTGTGCCACATTTTTTTTGTGGGAAACAGGTCTGGACTGCAGGCAGGCCAGTCCTTTTACTTTGAAGCCACACTGTTGTAACACATGCAGAATGTGTTTTGGCGTTGTCTTGTTGAAATAAGAAGCGATGTCCATGAAAAGGTTTTGCTGGGATGGCAGCAGCTTGTTTCTCCAAAACCTGGATGGACCTTTGCACATTAAGTTGCCTGCACAGACGTGTAAATTACTCATGCCGTTGGCACTAACGCAGCCCCTTCCCATCACAGATACTGGCTTTTGAACATTGCGTCTATCACAGTTCTTTTCCTCTTGAGCTCGGAGAATACCACGTCCACAATTTCCAAAAATAATTTGAAATGTATACTCGTCAGACCACAGAACAATTCTCAAACTTTGCGTCAGTCCATCTTAGATGAGCTTGGGCCCAGAAAAGCCGACGGCGTTTATGGGTGTTGTTGATCAATGGCTTTTTTTTCCTTTGCATTGTAAAGTTTTAAGTTTTGCTTCCGGATGTAACGTCAAACTGTATTTACTGACGCTGGCTTTCTGAAGTGTTCCTGAACCCATGTAGTGATATCCTTGACACATTGATGTCTGTTTTTGATGCAGTGCAGCCTCGGGGATCAAAGGTCACAGCTTTCAATGTTGGTTTTCGGCTTTGCTTATATGCGGCGATTTCTCCAGATTCTCTGAACCTTTTGATGATATTATAGAGACAGTAGGCGATAAAATCCTTAAAATTCCTTGCAACGTTGAGGAACATTGTCCTTAAACCGTTCGACCATTTTCTCAAGCAGGTGTTCACAAAGAGGTGAATGACCAAGTCAGGGAATCTCCTTTTATACCCAATCATGGCACCCGCCTGTTCACCCGCGGAATGTTGCAAACCGTTGTTTGATGAGCATTCCTCAACTTTTGTTGCCGGCTGTCCCAGGTTTTTTGGAAAATATTGCAGCAAGTTAATGATTATTTGCTAATAACTCTTTAAAATGAATTGGCTTCTCAATGCCGACTGGTTGGCTGAATTGAGACGAGAACGCTCTTGCTTGGGGTGTCGTCACATCAAGCTTGTGGACTGAAGAGGCACACAGTTGATGTGGAAATGCTTCTGACCACTGATGTAGCGTCTTTGTGTGTATTCAAACATTTCGCCGTATTTAGCGGACAGAATGCTCAGATCAGATTGTTGTTCTTATAGCGTAAGTTCAGATGTATGTCAGGCAACCTGAGGAAAACATTTGCCCTGCTTTTGACATTATTTATTGTGAGCAGCCTGCCTTGAGACTGTGATTGTTAATCTCCACCAAAATTCCTTGGAATGAACCCACATGCCCATCTTTTTTTTTTTTTTTGTCTACAACAGCCTGGTTGGTTGTTAAATGTTCTGAAACCTTATTAATTTAGCATTTGAATTTGATGCGTCTTTGTCAGCCATGTGTAATATGACCTGATTTTTCTTTTTTTTAAACTGTCTCCAGACCTTTGTGTTTAGACTTCTTAAATTGCTGTGCATTTGTTGATCAAAGATTGAAGTCACCGCAGTCGAAGGGAAATGTCTTTTGAGTTCAGACACAACAATTTTCCATGTTACGCTAATGGGGATTTTCCTGTTGAGTCGCCTTTCTTTAATTTGTCTCCCCCTTTCTTTTTTTCCTGCCGATGTTTTCCTCCTCTGGTTCTTGTTGTATTTTAACAGAAAGCCACACATATTAATGTGTGGTTACCCATATTGATATCCACCTTCAGCGCGCTTTGTGGTGTGCCTTGGATCAATACACGTGGGCTTTTTATCAGCGCTGAAGCAGCCATCAGTGTCTTTAATGACCCATTGGCATTTGTTGAAGGGGTGCTCACACTGTTGTCAAGACTTAGTACCCAGTGGCTAGTCAAATATTGTACTACGCACATGCCTCCAGGCAGCCACTGCCCCATTTTTGGGGGTCTTTTCTTCTTGTGCAAGTCATCGAGGGAATACTCTATAATATTTTTGACAGCGCTGTCCTACTTTGATTATTCATCGACCGTGACGCTTGCAAGGGTTTTTGCAAGGCATTTCATTGTCTCATAGTGAAATGTTTCACTGGTAGAACAGTTTTGAATGTATCGTGTGTTAATGTTGCGTTTGTGAAATGTGAGTTAAGCAGCAAAATCCAGGTGGATTTTACTGATTCACTCCTATTGTACAACCACATGAATCAGAATGCTGCGGTTCGACGACTGGAGGCACACAGAACATATTTTAAAGAAAATCCTGGGGTTGACTTCCCCTTTAAACTGTATTTATTGTAGTTTTTTCTTTCTTTACTTGACCTTAGATAATTGTGCCGATTGAGTTAAGTTCACTAGAAAACCACACATTTGCCCCGAAAATCCTCATTTTCCCCTTTGTGTATATGTTTGTTTCCCAATAACTTCCCTCTACTCGATTGGGCAAGCTTGCTTCCGCAGTTACTGGAACTCGTTCTGAAGTGTGTGGGATTTTTTTTCTTCTTTTTTTTTTTTTTTTTGTAATTATTATTACGCTCTAATTTTGCTGCCAATAGATCACAGTACTAGCCTTGTTATAATTGTCTTACATTTGCTAGTAAAATGTGAGAAATAGTTGCACTTTACGTCGCGTTTTAATATATTGCTACATGTTTCTGCCCCCCCATCTTTAGGGATGGCAGCCATCCGTAAGAAGCTGGTGATCGTTGGCGATGGAGCTTGTGGGAAGACCTGCCTTCTGATTGTCTTTAGCAAAGACCAGTTCCCCGAGGTCTATGTCCCCACTGTGTTTGAGAATTATGTCGCCGACATAGAAGTGGATTGCAAACAGGTAAGCGACCGCGCTCACTGACGGTGCGCCACTATTGCACACTTTGGTCATATCGTCGAACCTGAAGACAAACAAACACTCCTGCTTTCCCATAAAGAAACACGGCATTAACAATGCTTATCTTTTATTGATGCTGTAGTTCACGCTCTGACTTCAAAGGTTTTTTTTTAACTCTGTTAATGTGAGTGTGTAGTCTTAACACATTATTGTAAACAAATAAAGATGGTCTTTCTTTATGTGGAGTCTGTGTCCCAAATGGTGAATTGTGTTCCAGTAGACTTTTGCATGTGCACACTCCACATTGTCACATAAAAACAAGTTTACCTTTACAAAGGACTTCATTTTTTGCTCTGCTATCTTTACTTGGCTGTGAGCTGCTTCGAAACCAGGCAAATTGCTGAGAAACTGTAGTCAGTGCTATATACAGTAGTTGTATTGCCGTGCAGTCCCACACACATCACGTCGTCTGCAATAATCCTCGCGTCTGGAAAAGGAAATCACAAATGACCATTTGTAAATGTGTGGTGTGTGTGTTTCAGGTGGAGTTGGCTCTGTGGGACACGGCCGGTCAAGAGGACTACGATAGGCTCAGACCACTCTCTTATCCAGACACTGACGTCATTCTCATGTGCTTTTCCATCGACAGCCCAGACAGCTTGGGTCAGTGCAAACGGCGCCGTGTGCAGCAATCAATTTTCTCATGCTCGACTCCAATCCAGCCATTTTGACGAGCAACAAGTTACACCGTTCTAATCGAGGGAATCGAAATCGGTCAATCCAATCGCGAAGTAATAGCATTCGTATACTGTCTTTTTTTTGGGGAGGGGGGGGATGGCAAAAAGTCTATTTTATGTTTGTCGAATGAAGAACTAGCTCAGTGTGTTTTTTCTTTCATCACTCGGTGTAAGTTATGTGAACTTCCAGCCACGCACATTCAGCCACTCACACATGCAAGCGGCAGGCGGGCGTGTTGTTTGAACAAACGCGGAAGTGGCTTTGTTGTTGACAAGACGCACAAAACTTTTGCTCAGATTCTGCGGTCATACCGATGGTGAGTGGAGCTATTCTCATGACGCAATTACATTACAAAGTCAATACAGTTTTGTGGAGCCAAACGCCCTCGGCGATTTGCTAATTTGTCACAGACACGGCAGGTAAAAAGTGCACAAACAATGCAGGACCAAATACTAATTGGGGTATGTGTGCACCGGGACTCGTACAACACAGCCAGCTTCCAATACGATGCAAAAAAGGAACTGACGTAGAACCAAGATTTGTGGATGTTTAAATTAGTTGACGATAAAATAAATATACAAGTTACATTGCTTCATCTTCTGAAAGAATCAGTGATCATGTATTGGGGTATTTTTTTCTTTTTTCAAAGCTTCTGATTGCTGATCGGCCCCAAAACATTGATCACATAAAGCCTCATAATAAGTACTATGCGGGGTTACCAAGTTCATTTTATTGCCATACAATCAACGCCGTCCACCGAGTAACTGCTCGGGCAAAGAGCTGCAGCACAAGCATCAGCAGGCAGTCATGCAGCAAAATGACATGCGATGCACTTTCTGCTATTAGGATTAGGAACAGCTCTTTCCTCTTGTTATGGAAATGGTTTCATGTAAAATCAGGTGATGAAAGTGCTGCATAATTGAAGTGTCATGCATAAACATGATTAAATGAGTAGAAAATGTCAATTACCTGGCATTGCTAGTCATAAAACCAAGGTAAGAGTACTCGGACGATAAGACGCGATGCACTACATTCCTGCCTATTTCAACATTATTTTAATGACAGTTATCTGTGGTCACTTAAGCTCCAGAAGCTTTGCTGTGCCCCCAAAAACCAGATAGTCTTTGCGTTCTCAAGCAGAATAGTATAAACTGCGCTATGTGAGATTTTGATTTTGATGCCACGGTTTGTGCAAACAGCCTGAAATGAAGACTGTTTCACCGGTCTCTTGGTTTCACCCAAAGCAAATATGAATGCCTTTTTGTCACGCTTATCTGATATCGAGGAAACCTGTTTTCAGATACCACTGAAATGTGTCATGTCAAACGTGCTGCCACGCCTTACAAATGATTTTGTTGTCTTTTTCACACAGAAAACATTCCGGAGAAGTGGACACCAGAGGTAAAACACTTCTGTCCCAATGTTCCCATCATCCTGGTCGGAAACAAGAAAGACCTGCGCAATGATGAGCACACGCGTCGGGAGCTGGCTAAAATGAAGCAGGTACTTCATCTCGCGAATGAAATCTGGGACTGTTTTTCAAAATACATCTTGAATGTATGAATTTCCCCCAAAACACTTAGTATGTTGTCTACCTGCTGGCTTGACAATACTCTCAGCCGGAGCTGGCATTGAGTAGCCTCTTGAACAAAGGATTTTAATCGGGGTCTTTTGTGATTGGCCTGCACATGAGTCCATCTGTTTATGCTATTGGATGAGAAGGAACAATCCTTACATCCGCTTCTCGAGCGAGCTAGCTCGCTCGCTTTCAACATGTTCTGGTCAATGTTATATACATTTTGTTGTCCTATTTTAATAACATACATGACAGGGTTGATTTTTATTTCACATAATAAATGTGTGACAGTTCATGTTAATGAACGTGATGCATGAATTGCATCTGAAGTGCAATGTTTACTAACCCTCCTCGTGCATCGTACAAGTTAAGTGTTGAAAAAACTATTTAATTTTTTCTAATGGCTTAATGTAAGGCTGGTTCTTTTTTTTATTTCCACTTTTTATGACTACTAATGGTATGTAAATGTTATTTAAAACATTCCCTGTACATTTAAATATTGAAAATAATGACAATTTTGACTGTGGAACAAATTACTGCAAAGGTCATTGTCAGTGATAAACTTTGTTTTGAAATCAGAGATGGCCCATCGCCACTTTGAGGGTTGTTCTGTTCAAGCTTTAGAAAGACAAGGTATTGATTTTCTTTTTCTCTCTCTCTCTCTCTCATGCAACAGGAGCCTGTGAAGTCTGAGGAGGGCAGGGAAATGGCTGGCCGGATCGCGGCGTTTGGCTACATGGAATGCTCCGCAAAGACCAAGGATGGCGTGCGGGAGGTGTTTGAGATGGCCACAAGGGCGGCGCTGCAGGCTCGCCGCAGAAAGAATAGGAATAAGTGTGTACTGCTGTAACGTGGCAGTTGTTGTGGGACTGTTTGCACCTGGCCTGTTGTACCTGTGGCCAGGGCGGGGGAGGGATGGAAAAATTAGGGGGTGTAGGAGGAAGGGCAGGAAAAGACTGCAGTTAATGGACTACCGCTATAAAATGGCTGTTTGTCGGACTGAATTTACCCTGGGACTTTTTTTTTTGGGAAGCTTTGATGGAGAGGGATTGGATGTGGGCAAATATCGACTGTTGTAAACCATTGGACTCTTAATTTGGTGGGAGCTTGACACCACCCAAAGACCGATACAGCTCCCCCCCAACCAACACAGAAGTTCATTAAGAGATCCTGGCCCTTGCATCAAAGGTATCCATCCGTGATGATTTGTGGCGGGACATTCCGCTGACTGTTATGTTTGGATGGCAATATGAATTTCCTCCCTGGATGACTTGATGGGTCAGGCAGGGCACGGCAAGTACAGTTAATGGCTGCCATTTGGGATAGGTAACCCCAATCGTGCAGTTGCAGGTGAGTGAATTTGCCCTGTAATGAGGCTGTACACACAAAGATCAGATTCTCACTTGGGTCATTTCGATGTGCCTACAGTTCAATTGCAACAAGACAACACGAATACTCGTGTCTAGAAACAGTTTGATCCTGTGTGCACCCTACGCGACCCCCTTCCACTTCAGATGTGAGGGTCTTATGTGTGTGCTCACATGTGCAGCCTTAAATGAGTGAGGTCTATCTGAGGTTAATCTTGTGCTTACAGACTCCCAGCCAGTACATGCACTCAGCTCTCACCTCACTGGCACTGCTCTATTATTATACCACACTGTACTGTAATTGACACACCGTTGCCCCCTGTTGTTACCATTTAAACTACTTGTAAAATGATTCTGGCAATGATTACTTTAACGAGCATGCTCCCACCACCAATAATATCATGGATTCTAAAAATGACAACAAAAATTTGTGGTCCAGGAGAAGGATTTTCAAGCCAGCCAAACTCTTCTCATCCCCTCCCCCACACATTACTCCCCCATACTTGCGACTGCTGGTGCTGATCTTCTCCTGGTTGTAGACCAGGACAGAGAACGAGGAGAGGAAGTATTTTGTTTACATGCAACGCCACCACTAATCTCTGGATCCGGGAGGAACACTATTTTATTTGGGAGGCCAGAAGTGTACACTTAAACAGAATCTGAAGCCCATTTTACATAGCATGTTGAGTCCGGGATTCTGACTTCAGAGGTTAGAACCGAGCCGTGACCACGCTAACCTTTAGCAGTCCACACTCGCATTTCCTGTCATGTTGTGTGGAAGTAATTGCGACTGTGAAGTATTTGTCATTCGTCAGACCAGACGTAATTACGAATCAAATGTCCAACTGCAGTGGTCAGTATTGCTGTTAGCACACACACACACACACACAGTTGTGTGGCAATATGAGTTTGAAGCTGCACCTTCTGTTATAGCTCAGATGCGGCCGTTTTGTAGGTTCTCAGTGAAAAAGAGGCTTAAGCGGGTCCCTGGGATCAGCCGCAAGCACATTTAACAATTGAATATGCCTTATTATTCAAGTGTCGTTACCTGCCGACCCACAAAACTGCATGACAGCCTTTTTTGGGGAAACAACAAACGGTGTTCTTCAGCACTATCTAGACAAATTTGAATTCACAACCTGGTTAATTGCTTGCTGTTAGTGGTATTTGGTTAAAAATTATGATGGTGGCCTGTCAGTTTTTGGCTCAAATAAAAGAACCCCTCTAGTTCCTCTTTCTGGCCTACCGGGATAAATTTGCTCCAGGAACCTACTCTTGTATTGTTAGATTATATTTTATTTCCTGCTTTTATTTTTAAATGTATTATGTTGTCTGTCGGTATTTAAGAAAGAAAAAAAAACAGGCAGAACAAGAGCGGACTGCTTTTTTTGCTTGCTTTACTTGACTTTACACTTGGTAATTAAGAATCTGTCAATCAGTCCCACCAAATGTTTTTCGACAGGAGAGAGGCTGGATTATTGCTTGGACCCTGGATTAAGATGTGTATTTTCAACGCAAATGATGACATTGAGAGTGCAAAAAAAAATGCCTCCTTGTAATGTACAAATCATTATTTCTTTTAATGAATGTTTCAATCATACATTCTGGATGCTGAAGTCAGAACAGGAAAACCAAGCTGTATGCAATGTCTGTAAATATGAATTATGGGTTTGTTCATACTAAACTATACACACACAGGACTGGAAACTATTTGTAAACTAGCTTTGGTTTGTGTAATAAATTACTTTCTATAACACCCAGGCCTTTTTGTTTTTCTGAGTCGAGGATGGACTCGGCTCTTACAACTAAATCGACACACAGAGGAATGTGATGGATGGATGAGAGGTTTTATGAAGCGGCGGCATTATTGTTAATGGTCCCACTGGACTCTGATTGAATACTAACTCGTTGCGAAGAAAGCTTCACCAGGGGGATCGTATTTCTTTTTGGATCAGTTGTCTAACGCTGTCAAACAGGAGGCTTCAAAACACTTATGGTATGGGTTAATTCAATCGGAGCCCTTTTATTTCCCGCTAAGGGGACTTTAAACACATCCTCTGGTCACCATTCTATCAGTTTCAGGACACAACCAACACAAATCTTATCACGTCTGGGGAGTCATTTGCAGCTGAAAATATACCGTATATTAGGTCTGATAATGCTTTTTTTTCTGTTGGTAATGTCATGGTTTAAACCCCTGATTTTAACACAGCTGTCACAGGTCAAATGTTCAATTAATATAACATTAAATGGAATAATCTTGCTACATGGTGCTAAGAATTTGTGGTCATACCAAAGAAGAGCGGGGGTCACTAACCTTTTTGAAAGTGAGAGCTACTTGACCATTGCCACTGATTAATGTGAAGGGCTACCAATTTGATACACAATTCTGAAATAACAAATTTGCTCAAATTATTTGTAATTATATAATGCTATTAGTAAAATGATAAAGGAAGAATGAAAGGAAGACACTGATCACGTTAATGATTTGTCACAATAATTAGGAAGCAGATTATCACCAAGCAAAAAAACCATCTGTACATCTCTGGCAGTGCTCACATTTTCAAAGAATATCTGATGATACCCATACCAATACTGCACCAAGACTGCAGATCGACTGATCCCGATCCGACTCTTTTTGTCACTCTAAAAGTTAATATGTGGATGGAATCGACTTGATCGTGTTATCTAAAAAACACCACGTTCGCTCTACAGGAACTATTCTGGTCCCGTATAGAAAAAAGGAAAACAAACTATTTTACGGACCATTAGGTACAGACAGAGTATTACTAGGCGCAAAGTCGCCAACTTCTCATCAAAGTCTGCTTTGTCTGCTTTTTTGCAACCAACAAACGTTATATGCCCCACTCGCAGAATTCCGCATGACACCCCCAACACGTGCACGCCTACCAAAATGTTTTGACCCCATGTTTTTAACGTAATTTGGTAATGGATGAAAATGTCGTCATCGGCATGCGCCTTTTTTTTGACCGGCTGAATCTTGTTACCTCGATGATTGCCACAGTGGGCATGATGGCGTTGAGTGACAGTTTTTGCAATGTAAATATACGGATAAAATGGCGTCTGGAAAAAAAAAGTGTTTATTTATTCATTTATATACCAAGCCGATTGTTAACCGAGAAAAGTTTCGACGCCGCCGCATATCTCGCCTTCAAACACAATGTTGCCTTGTGATTGGCCCGCACCAACAGCGGGGCAGCTCGGAGAAAATCTGTGGTCTACGGACAAATTGGATTCTGGAAGGTATACAATTTTAGTACCAGGGATCCCTGCCATCCAGTTGTAGTCATTTTAAAGGTATAGGAAAATGAACCTTTTTTCATTCCTAATCAATGGAGGAAGTCTTTATTTCAAACCAGGGCGAGATGATTGCTGACTGAAGAGTGTACTGCTTCGCAAAGCCTCACTTACGCGCTCGACCGATGCCTGCGCTTGCAGAGAGACCTTGTGGGGGATGTAAATGTGAGCTAATTTGCTCCTGTGTGGGAGGATGCGACATGTAGCATAGCCATATTCACAAACTGCAGGGAGAGTGCAACCACGGGTGGCGTTACATGGGAAGACATCACTTGAATGGGGCAGCATGGTCGAGTGGAGATAGAAACAGATTTGATGACACCTGGAGTATGTGCTCTTCTTTAAAAATAGTTCTGAGTAATTCTGAGTTTGCCATTAAAACAGTGTAGCCTCTTATTCCATTGGCATGTGGGGCAGTTATCGTTGAGCCCTTTAACTCTGCCTCGTAACAGCAGATTTAATTGGACCTGAATGGATCTAAAAACTATATTATACAATGTCACTGAGGTAAAAATCAAGCAGGTCCCCATAAAATTTCAAGAGTCACGTTACACAATGTTGCTCAGTTATAATAACATATTCACACGTTAGCTACTTTACATTTACTCAGTATCTATCCTATATAAATTCTTGTGTTAATTTAGCTGTACTAACACATAACCATTACAGATGGTCTGATCCGATCCACTGGATTGGTATCGGGTCAGATACAGACCAAAATGACTGCATTGTATTGAAAGGATATTAGAACCGGTCCGATACAATATGATAAACCCAAATGCAATCATATATCTCTACTTCGCTTTGCGCAATATGCTAGCAGCATGGAGTAGCATATTTAGTGCTGTCAAGTAATAAAAAAATTCAAAATAATTCACAGCACCATTTTCTGTACTCGATCACGATTCCATTTTGTCCAAGTAAAATCTTGGGATTGTATTCGCAGACTGTTATAAGAAGCTTTCTTTGATCCTTGAATACAATTCTCCTGTAAAATACAACTGTTGAACAAAACGATAGTCTAAAAGTGCTTGGTGCTACACCCTCTCCCATATAAAAACACCAGTGGGTCGCTGCTGAACAATGAAAATCATTCATAAAGACACCTCACATGCCTTTCAATAGTGAACTTGTTGGTTGTTGGAACCACACAGCGCAGTATCAAGTCAAACACATTAAAAGCCTGCAAATTACATTATGATGACCGTGAAGCCTTTTGCTCGTCTCAATGTTACCGTTGTACTTATGGAAAATGACTAAGGACTCTGTAAGAGTGAAGCCACAGACCGGAAGGAAGGTCGTCAGACTCGTCACTGCCTACTCCACCCAAAGTGGTGGTCAGACACCGTGAAAGAGGCACAGCAGCGCCCAAGAGGGGAACACTTGAGCTGGGATTGAAGCAGAGATCATAAACGCAGGCTGCTATTTGTGTTCTTATTATTTTTTCTTCTCATTCTCAAAGCACCTCGCCCTATCTTCTTGTTGTGTTTTTGCAGCTTGCGGCTTTGGCTCTTCCTCTATTTCTATTTATTCGTAATGATCCCAATCATCCTCCTCCTCCTCCTCAAGCCTGCGAGGTGTATGCTGCTCCACATGCTACCGAAGGCCGGATTTATATACCAGACTATTTTTAGCCCTGCTCCAACCTATCTATTTTAACCAATCTGCTTACCACCTCCCCAAAATATCCAATGAAATCGAACGCACTGCATACGAACTGTCCAATAGAAGGACGGCTAAGTTTATAAGGGGCGGGGCTTATATAAACCGCAGCGAGAATGCAAGTGTTGTCGAGGAAAACACTGATGAGAGACGCTAGCTGGTCTCATTCAACCAGTAAACATTTTTTTTTCTGTTCAGGAATGTAAAGTGAATAACTATATCAGTTGGGAAGCGAATCTAAAACCCCCGAAAAAGAATGTCATTATACCTACAAAAATACAATTTGCGTTAAAGAGTAAATTAACTAATTGCAGGCATAAACAAGATTTGGGTAATCGCCAATGCGGTTGAATTAGGTGGCTGAGAAAGCAGTTTTGGCATAACTGCGTCTGAAAGTGTTGCCACTGTGTCATTGGATGGTGGTCGAGTACATCTGTTCAGCGCTCTAGATGCTATATAATTTGACTATACAGTAATGTTAGATCTGTTTTGACTATGTGCCGGGTTGTGATTATAAAAGCCACGCCGAAAATCATACATAACATTTCTCAAAATATTCGTGTGAACCCAGAAGAAACACTTGAGAAGAAAGGATTTCATAAGAGGAACAGCGATTCCCCGCCCTGTGACTTAGTACTGCATTTTAAAGTTTCCAGAGTAAATGCATGATAAAATAACATACAACACAACATAATATTATACCCGTTGATAAGCGGTTCGGATTATGATGGATGGATTTACATGACATTATGCCTTTTAAACAACTTGAAACTGCAGAACTTGGCATTATCAATACAGTATACATGTACCGTTCGTTGACGTTGGTGGTTGAATTTAAATGGCATTACACTGACCTTTAGTGGTAGAAGTTGCACATTACAGAAAGGGCGCCTTAATTCCCTTCAGTCGTTGACGTATAACTTGCCCTCTTGGCCAAGTCATACGTCAGGGTGTCCGCCATCTTGTAGCAGTCTTTTGTCAACACTTCAGTGTATGTCTGGGGGTGCACTAAACGGTAAGCAGAAATGAAAAGACTGCGTGGAATTACCTTAATAATAGTAATAATAAAAAGAAGAAGAAGAATAGATGAATGAGAAAATATAACATTGGGAGACCGTAGTACCCGGAGAAAATCCATGCAGGCACGGGGAGAACATGCAAACTCCACTCAGAAAGGCTGGTGCCGGATTCAAACTCATAACCTCTGCACTGTGAGGCAGATGTGCTAACCAGTCAACCACCTTTCCCTAATCTAAAGGGATGAGAATTCTCATCCCACAGATTTAAATCAGTGGGAAATAGCTTTCAGAAGAGGAGTAATTGAATGTAAAAACAAATCAGTTCAACAGAAACATTGTTGCTATTTATTCATAAAATCTACACATGTATTCGAGGATTTGGTTATTGCAGACAGACATTAAATATTTAAAATTAATATTGACATAAACATCACAGTAACTGTTAAAACCATTTGTATCTAATAATTCATGAAAATGTCAGAAAATACAGACTCTCGTTTGCGCTTACCTTCTATCATAAACAATAAACATTCATAATTATACGATTAAAAGTGGTCGCATATACTCATTTTTTTTTAATCATTACTGTTTGTGTGAATGGGAGAACGGAAAGCATTACCTTGCACTTAGTGTAATGAAGCTTTATGAAGTTCAGGATATGCATGAATTTATGTCTGCACTTCCACATACAATATGGCGATTGCGCTGACGTATCGCAATAGCCACCCATCCGCTAAAAAAGGCGTCGTTTTAATAT